CTGCTGATCTGAATGCTTTACCCTTTCATGTCCAATTAGAAAATAATTACAAAGATGTTTTGCAACATTGCGTAGTTTGCCGATGCCTTTGTGAGGGCTCCGCTAGGTTGGAGTATAGGAGTGGTCAAGCCCCCTTCCCCTTTTTTCCACAGAGAAACCACCAACGGGATCTGTCCTAGCTTGTCTCAGATGTCCTTTACAGCATTACCTGCTCCAGGCTTTCTCAGTTCTCATTCCTGTCTAGAGAAAACACATTTCTGCCAACTGCTTTGATTTTCATGTGGAAAGAATTGGGAGCACAGGACAGAACACACAGAGTACACATCATGTAATGAGCTAGACAAATAAAAAAGGTTACTTGACCACTAAATGCTGGTCTTTGAGTTGCCTCTGTTCATACTACCTGCCTGCTTTAACCTTTATTTGAAATTTGAGGTAGCATCAAGGTTCTGTGGTATGAGAGGGCAGAGTTTTTATGAATTTGTAATGCTCTGTGCAGTGCAGGGCAGTTATTTTCCTTTCTGACGTGAGGAATTATATATCCTCTCAAGAGCATCCATATTCCAAGACAGCCCAATAGCGCCAAATGCTGCAAGCAGAAATAGACAGAGGCAACTACTGAGCAGCAGTTACTGGTAGCCATTCTTTTAGCTCTGCTTCTGTTATTCTGGGATGCTGAACAAAGATATTCTTTTCCATAGTGCCTTTTCTTTCATGTGGAATTCCTGCAGTTCCTGCACCATCAGGTCTCCCTCTCATGCCGGGAGTGGAGCCTACCGAGTGGAGTGATGAACACACTGAGTTTGTTCATTTGTTGGGGGGGGGTGTTGCTATTTTTATTTGGGGTTTTTTTTGTATTATTGCTCTGTAGCAAGTCTAGCAGAATGGTTTTCTGTTTGGAGATCCCGAAGCGCATGGGCAAGTGGCTGCAAGCACAAAACACCCAGATGTTCAGCTGGAGAATCAGAAGTTACAGGCAGGTTCTTATGTGTGAGGCTATGGAAAGATTTTGTTTTCAAAGTAGGAGAGGGAGCTAACTACAGTTTGTCAAAGCTTTTGCCAATTCTGTCCCAACTCTCTATCTACTAAAAGTTTTAATTTCTACAGTTTAAGTGCATTATGGATGTATTACTAAAGTGAGGATGTAATGCTTCTTTTTATATTCAAGTTTGTCGATGAGTTCTGTTGCAAAAAGCTTTCTGTTGCTTAAAACAGTAGAACCAGTAGCATTAGGTCGGATGAAAGTGAAATATACAGATTTGGGGACTTTGAGGAATTTCTTACCTTTTCTTTGCTTCATTCACATGAAAAAAAATGATCTGAGATACTCATTCTGAGATTGGTGAGATTTCTTCTTGCACTTTAAGGTAAATTTTTACAATGAGCATGCATTTGTTGTTCGTAAACTGCACCACCTAGTGGGGAGCAGGCTTTTGGTGAAAAATATTTTAATTTACAGATTTACTCTTTAAACATAATAATTCCTTTCTTCATGTTCTTGGCATTCTTTTTGGTCTAAGTACACAATGCAGCTGTCCCTTAAATTTATTTCTAGTAGGTCATCCTAGGATAAACACTAAATTAAAAGCCTGTATTTATACTGTTTCCATCTTTGTATGAATACGTTATAATATTTTTGCACAGAGTAGATTTTACTCTTTACAAAGAGTAAATTCTTTTTAAATGACTCTTGAATATTGTGTCTTGTAGCTCCTTAATGTCATTAGTTTTGTTTTTTTAATCAGTTACTCGCACTCATCAATGTATGCTAAAATTTACCCTTCTTTTTTTGTTTTTGTTTTTTTTTTTCTTCCCCTTTACAGCCTCACTTCTGATCAGACTCTTACACGTCAGGGTTCCAATCCACCTTTTCCTGAAAACTATCACACTTTGCCAAAGAATACCAGGCAGCCTTCAGGGAGCTCACCACCGCTACTAAACCGCAATTTGCCAAGTGACTACAAGTATGCACAAGATCGTGTTAGCCACTTGAAGATGTCCCAAGAGGAAAGGAAAGCAAATAAGGATGGAACTGTTTGGCAGCTATATGAGTGGCAGCAGAGACAGCAATTTAAACATGGCAGTCCCACTGCCCCACTTTATGTAGGTTCTTCAGACTTTATTGATCGTGGTAAGTCAAAAAGTTCATTAGATGTTCCACGATCGATATCTGTTCCGCCCTCTCCATCTGATATTCCTCCACCTGGACCTCCAAAAAGCTTTCTCCCAAGGAGACCACATACTCCTGCAGAAAGGCTCACAGTTAAACCATCTGATGAGAGACAGACTATAGACGTTCCTTTTGCTGGGTCACCCAGGAAGATACGAAATCATGCTGTAAAGGTTTGTATATAGTATAACTGATTTCAGACTATAAGTGATATCATACATTGATAATTTAATTCATTCCTTTTCGTTGCATCCTTCCTTGGGCATGAAAGATTGTGCAAGTTGTAAAAGTTAATACAATGAATAATTTTCTCCTAAAACTCTTATCTTTCTGAACATTTCAGATTTATTATTTTTTGTTGGTTTGGAAGGGAAAATTGGTGGCACATCACATTGGTTTGGAATATTTTTATTCAAAAACTGGGAAGCATATGTTTATATGTGTAAAATACAGAATTGTAGTATTTTAATGTATAGAGTAA